TTTTTTTTAGCCCCCATGCTTGAGTGCTGATCCTTCTCAAAAATACAGGACATATGAATGAGCAAAAGCCAAGTGAATATTAATCTGCATATTCACTAATATAGCATGTTTTCAAGTTTAAAAGTAGCTCAGGAGATGTAAGAAATATGTACTTAGATCATGGATAGAATAAATAGCATCTTAATTTTTACTATCTGCTTACACCTTACATTCCTGACCTATTAGTGACCTCCTTGCTGAAGCCTTTCATTCCAAAAGTTATGGGTATAGATAAGTCATCTATAAAGCCAGGGGAGCAGGCCCTCATCCCTATTTTACAAGGTCAACCAGGAATTCAACCAACCTTTCTCTCCTTTCACCTTTTTCACACTGCAATTTCAATTGGTCCTTACCCCACATTTTTGCTGACTTTTAGGAACTACTAGAGTTTTAAGCAGAAGTCCCAACAGCACCAGGAGAGTAAATATCCCAGAAAATTGTACTAACTTCTCCTAGAATAGCTTTCACATACAGGAGATAACTTCCAAATTTACGGTCATTCCTGTTCCCATGCCCACATGTTGTCTTCCAATTAACTTAAATATAAGATGTTTGGGTAAATAAAGAGGTATCCCAGACCCTTTTCTTTGGCTTATTAAACTCTCAGTTGTCATCATTTTCCTTCTTATTTCTCCCTTCTGAGACAGTTTCTTGGAAAAAAAAACTGCCCAGCAACAAAAACTGTGATTCATTATGCTGACTTGTTCTATGTATGTGTGTATATTGCCTTAAATTTAGTTGTTTTTCTTCTTCACTTCCTTTGAGAAAGGCCACTGTAAGCCTCCATTCAGGAGAGATTCTCCTTCCCTGAGATGAACATATGTATACGTAAGAATTTTTGTGCTTTCTCTTTTGGGACATCCTTGAGGGAAATCCTTCTATGCTTTTTCTTATAAACTATGTTGGTCTAAAGTGTAGCAGAAAACTCATAAGCATCTTCTGCTTAAAAGAATATTTTGGTACAGATCACTCAAATCAGCAAACCAGTTCCTTGAAAAGATTTGTACTAATGAACTTTTGAATTTTCTATTCTCTAAATGAAATGTACTGAGTTAGAAAGTCTTTTCTATTAGATATGTGTGTTTGTGTGTATGTATATAGAGACAAGAGTTTAGGGATAGAGACTGGATACATAGACAGCTTTATCCCTTGTGTGTTCCAAAAAGTTCCTATATCAGGTCTTTCCTGATCCCTCCAGTTGCTAGTTTTGTTGTTGTTATTCTCTTTCTTTTGTTGTTGTTGTTGTTGAGGAAGGAATGAGCTGTGAGAGGGGCAGGTTACAAATGTATTTAAAAATATAAAATTCTTACTGTGTCAGTCACTGTGTTGGGTGGTGGGAATGCAAAGACAAAAATCAAACAGTCCCTGCCCCTTAAAGAGCAATACTGGATGGTCTCAGGACATGGATGGAGGAGCTCAACAAGGATTTTGAAAATCAAATAAGAGAAGTAGAGGAAAAATTGGGAAGATAAATAAGAGTGATGCAAGAAAATCATGAAAAACAAGACTTACTAAAAGAGACCCCCCCAAAAAAATACTGGAGAAAATAACACCTTGAAAAATAGACTAGACCAAAGGGCAAAAGAGGTCCAAAAAGTCAATGAGGAGAAGGCCTTAAAAAGCAGAACTGGATAAATGGAAAAGGAGGTCCAAAAGCTCACTGAAAAAAAATAATCCCTTAAAAATTAGAATGGAGCATATGGAAGCTAATGACTCTACAAGAAATCAAGAAATTATAAAATGAAACTAAAAGAATAAAAAAATAGAAGACAATGTGAAATATCTCATTGGAAAAACAATTGACCTGGAAAACAGATCCAGAACAGACAATTTTAAAATTATTGGACTACCTGAAAGCCATGATGAAAAAAAGCCTAGACACCATCTTTCAAGAAATTATCAAGGAAAACTGCCCTCATATTCTAGAAACAGAGAGTAAAATAGAAATGGAAAGAATCCACCGATCACCTCCTAAAAGAGATCCTCAAAGGAAAACTCCCAAGAATATTGTAGCCAAATTCCAAAGTTCCCAGGTCAAGGAGAAAACACTGCAAGCAGCCAGAAAGAAAAAATTCAAGTATTGTGGAAACACAATCAGGATAACACAAGATTTAGCAGCTTCTACATTAAGGGATCAGAGGGCTTAGAATATGATATTCTGGAGGTCAAAGGAGGTAGGATTAATACCAAGAATCACCTATTCAGCAAAACTGAGTATAATCAATGAGGGGAAAAAACTGACTTTCAATGACGGAATTTAATGCATTCTTGAGAAAAAACCAGAGCTAAATAGAAAATTTGACTTTCAAATACAAGATTCAAGAGAAGCATGAAGAAGTAAACAGGAAAAAGAAATCGTAAGGGACTTATTAAAATTGAACTGTTTACATTCCTACATGAAAAGATGATATTTGTAACTCATGAGACCTTTCTCATTAAGGTAGTTGGAATGAATATATATATATATATATATATATATATATATAGTCAGAGGGCACAGGCTGAGTTGAATATAAAGGGATGATACCTAAAAAATAAAATTAAGGTGTGAGAGAGGAATGTACTGGGAGAAGGAGAAAGGGAGAGGTAGAATGGGGTAAATTATCTCACACAAAAAATGGCAAGAAAAAGTTTTTACAGTGGAGGGGAAGAAGGGAAGGTGAGAGGCAATGAGTGAACCTTACCCTCATCATATTTGGCTTAAGGAGGGAATAACATACACACTCAGTTGTGTATGGAAATCTATGTTACCCTACAGGAAAGTAGGGGGAAAGGGAATAATGGGGGGGTGATAGAAGGAAGGGCAGATTGGGTGAGGGAATAATCAGAAGCAAACACTTGAGGAGGGACAGGGTCAAAGAAGAAAATAGAATAAATGGGAGGTGGGATAGGATGGAAGGAAATGTAGTTAGTCTTTCACAACATGACTATTATGGAAGTGTTTTGCATGACTACACATGTATAACCTATATCAAATTGCTTGCTGCCTCAAATAAGGGTGGTGGGGAGGGAGGAATGGAGGGAATTTGGAATTCAAAGTTTTAAAAACATATGTTAAAAACTGTTTTTACACATAACTGGGAAATAAGATACACAGGCAATGGGTAAAGAAATCTTACTCTACAAGAAAATAGAAAGGGAAGGGGATATGAGAAGGGGAGGGGGGGAATAGAAGGGAGGGTAGATTGGAGGAAGGGATATTCAGAATGCACACCACCTTGGGGTGGGAGGAGGGGAGAGATGGAGAGAAAATTTGGAACTCAAAATCTTGGGAAGTGAATATTGAAAACTAAAAATTAATTAATTTTTTTTTAAAAAATAGCCATACTAGAGTAAGATAATGCATATAAGGTTGTTTAATGTTAATTGCAAGCTTACGAATTGATAGAGAAATTCTCTTTAGAATCCAGGAAGAAACTCTCAATTACATGTATACATATACATACATATATTCTATCTGTATCTATAGATGCAGATATGTGAACTACTCTGTGCCTTAAATGCAATATTAGGAATTAATGAGGATGAATTATATTGGAAATATGGCTCAGGAACAAGGAATAAGATAGTCCAAAGACGTGTAGATTACGTAAGTTAATACCTCTTGTTGTGAACATCATCTTTTGTTGAAGAATCAAAAGACATTGTACACGAAAAACATCAAAAAAAATAACAAAATGAAATTATTTTTAACAGAGAAACAAATCATTACTTATATAAAAGTAACCACTGACTTGTTAAAGTGCACTTCAAAATTATCACAAATGCTACAATAAAAATGAAATAAAAAATATGACATGTAAACAAACTAATTCCAAGCTAATCTATTTAATCAAGTTATTGACACTAAAAATGGAAAGTGAATGAGAAAAAGGACATTAACACTGATTAAAATAATTGCATACAGAACCTTAACCAACGTAAATCAGCAGCCACAGAAAAGGTGACCTGAGGTCTGCCTTAGTCAGCAAACACTACTCATTTTCCAAGTAGAGAAATATGAAATCCAAGAACAATATAAGTTTAGAATAAAAGCTTGTTTGTAAAGTCTAATGGAGAAAGATAGTGAAAAGTTTTAAGTAGTATCACCTCATGAAACAGTGAAAGCAAAGGAGGGAAAAAGCAGAAAGTTTGGTTTAAGAACCAACTAAGCAAAGTCATCCTAAGAGCATTTAAGGATGAAACTGTAAAGACAACAAAAAGATGAAATATGGAGAAGTTCTATAAAAGGTGGTTTGTTTTTTTAAATAACAAAGTTTTCAGCAGTAACAACAATGAAACTACCATGCTTACATTCTAACATCAGTCCTTGATGTGCTTATAAAAGTAGTAATGGCACTAAAGAGAACAAAGATGGGAAAATAAGTTGGACCAGATCAAGAGTACACAGGGTAAGTCCTTATCCTTGCTAGAGGCAACACAACTGTGAGGTGTTAAGGGATTGATTTCCAAGCAAAAAGGTAAGGATGAGAAATTACATCAACTAGATATAAAAATAAAACTCTACCACATTTTAAATTGTACTCATGTGGATATAAGATGTTTCAGTTTAAAGATAATTTGTTAGCAACAAACATTTAATAGTGTGCCCACAAGGTACCAGAAGCTAACAGTCCATCATTAACAAAGGATTTAAAATTTAATCATTCTGATGAAGGATACATGGATAAAACATAAGTTCAAACATAATTTTTAAAAACTATACTTGGGTCTTAAACACAAATCAAAACAAGTTATAAATACTAATAAAATAAATCTTTTATTAAAATGAAAGTCTAGAAACTTTTTACATTAAAACTAAGGTCACAACTAAAATAAACAACTTCAAAAGAATTCCCATAACATGATTTAATTTTAACACTGTATATAAAGTTATAATACAAATGGACTGGTACTCAAACATTTTAATAACTTAACATTTTTGTCATCTGAGAAACTTAAGGATATACAAAATAATTAAATTTCATTACAATAAAGTATTTATTTTGGTCCTTTCGGAAAAACTAACTTGGCGTTGGTTTTTTTGCATGGCTCCAGGTATGAAATAGACTACAAGGTGATAACTCCAACACGTATAGCCACTGGTCCTGTTTTTAAGTTCTTTTCCTGCAATTCCTTAAATGTCTCCAGTCATAATAGCAATGAACTCCTCCTGATTTACTGTGAAAGACAACACAACAGTCAGAAAAATGATTAACTCATGATTTTTTAACAGGCTAAGAATAATATCATACAGGTAAATAAAAAAGCTATGTAATATGTAAATTAAAAATAAAGATATAGTCTTTTCATTATTCCGTTAGCAAGCCAAACATGCCTATTACAAAAAAAAAAAAATCCTGAGTGTAAAATTCAAACAAAAATTTTGAGAAGAATGGATACACAATAAAACCTCACTAGATATGCCCTGTATGATAGCAAGTATTACATTTATTCAATTTAACTGGGGACAATTTGTAAAACGGCTGAATGACAAGCTATTATGAAAATAAAAGAAGTTAAAGCAATAAAATACATACAAGAATTAAACAAATGTTCTTACCTCTTACCTCTATACAATGCTTTGCAATTTACAAGGCACTTTCATATATATAATCTCAGAGAATCACTGATCAGAGTTGGACCCAATCTTAGCAGTCATCTATCTAAAACATGAATTTGCTTTAGGTAGTTACATGGTGCAGTAAACAAAGAATTGGGTCTAGAATCAGGAAGACCGGAGTTCCAATCTGGTTTGAGTGACCCTAGGCACATCACTTAACCTCTTTCAGCCTCAGTTCCTCATCTGTAAAATGGGGATAACAATAGCACCTACTTCTCAGGGTTGTTGAGATAATATTGCACAGGGCCTGGCACAGAGTAAGTACTTAAATAAATGTTTGCTCCCTTCCCTTTCTCTTTACAATATCCCTGAGTCCCTGACAAGTGACCATCTAGCTTCTACTTCAATACCTTCGATGGTGACTGGGAATTCTCTAACTCATAATTCAGTTGATCCCATTTTTGGCACCTAGAATTATTAGGAATTTCTTCCTTATACCAAGAGAAATTAGATTATAAAACTATTACATTGTAAAACTCCTTGAAGTCAGGGATAGGGTAATTTTTCACCTTTGTATTTCTAATTCCTGACATACAGTACTTTTGCACATAGTAGGTGCTTAATAAGTTTGTTGAAATGAAATTTACCTACCTGTAACTTTTGAAAATAAAAAAGTATTGGTATCTTTTGTTTTTATATCACCTACATTTACCAATGTATCTCCCTAGGCATCCTCTATAACAAAGGGAAAAAAAATCCAAAACCAACCAATACAGAGCAAAAATGTGACCACTCTGTATATGCAATGTTCCACACCCATAGCCCCCAATCTCTGCAACAACAAAGGTGGAAGAGGAGAAGGTACTTTCTCATATCTCTTCTTTAGGATTGTTTGGTCATTATAATTTCACTGCATTCAGTTTTGATAGTTTTGTTGGTGGCTGTTCTTTCCATTTATATGGTTGTAATCATTGTGTGTGTATTTTCCTAGTTGTACTCACTTCACTCTTGCATCAGTACACAAGTCTTTTGATGATTTTCTGTATTCATGATATTCATCATTTTTTTTTAAGGCAATTGGGGTTAAGTGACTTGCCCAGGGTCACACAGCTAGTAAGTATCAAGCGTTTGGTCAGAGGCCAGATTTGTACTCAGGTCCTCCTGATTTCAGGGCCAGTGCTCTATCCACTGTGCCACCTACCTGCCCCAATTCATTGTTTTTTTACAGCACAGTAATATACTATTACATTCATGTACCATAATTTTTTTAGTCACTGCCCAATTGATAGGCACACACTGTTTCCAGTTATTTGCTACTATAAAAAGTAGTACAGTACTGCTATCAATAAACTGGTACATATGGTACCTTTCTTTTTATCACTGACCATCTTTAAGGTGAATCTCTAGCAACAGGATCTCTGGGATCAAAGGAAAGGAATATTTTAGCTATCCTTTTCACATAATTCCAGATTGCTTTCTAAAACAACTGATCCAATTCACAATCAATGAACAGCGTATTAGCGTGACCATCTTTTCACGATACCTCCAACACTATTCCCCCAGTCTTTTATCTTTTCCAGTTTGTTGAGTTGTTAGGTAAAACCTCAGATTTGTTTTTTCATTTCTCTTATCAAGAAATGATTGAGAAAATATTGAACGAGAAAATTGGAGAATTCATTCATATAGTTACTGGTTTCCAATTCTTCTTTTGAAAACTATCCATTCAAAATGGAGTCTTCCTTAAAATGATAAGTAGCATCTATCTAAAACCTTCAGCAAGCATTACATGTAATGGGGATAAGCTAGAAGCATTTCCAATAAGATCAGGGGTGAAACAAGCATGTCCATTATCACCACTGTTGTTCAATATGGTACCAGAAACGTTAGCTTTAGGAATAAGAAAAGAAAAAGAAATTGAAAGTATTAGAATAGGCAAAGAAGAAACAAAGCTATCACTCTTTGCAGATGACATGATGATATAGAGAATCCTACAGAATCAAGTAAAAAACTACTTAAAATAATAAACAACTTTAGCAAAGCTTCAGGTTATAAAATAAACCCATATAAATCATTGGCATTTCTATATATTACCAACAAAGCCCAACAGCAAGAGACAGAAAGAGATATTCCACTTAAAGTTACTGTAGACATTATAAAATATTTAGGAGTCTACCTAACGAAACAAACCCAGGAATTATATGAGCACAATTACAAAACACTTTTCACACAAATAAGGTCAGACCTAAATAATTGGAAAAACATCAGTTGCTCATGAGTAGGCCAAGGTAATATAATAAAAATGACAATTCTACCTAAGTTAATTTACTCATTCAGTGCCACACCAATCAAACTATCAAAAAATCATTTTATAGAACTAGAAAAAATAATAATAAGATTCATTTGGAAGAACAAAAGGTTCAGAATATCAAGGGAACTGATGAAAAGAAATGCTAGGGAAGGTGGCCTAAACATTCCAGATCTTAAATTGTTTTATAAAGCAGCAATCATCAAAACTACTTGGTACTGGCTAAGAAACAGAGTGGTGGATCAGTGAATAGGTTAGGTATGTAAGACACAGTAGTCAATGACTACAGTAATCTACTGTTTGATAAACCCAAAGACCCCAGCTTCTGGGATAAGAACTCACTATTTGACAAAAACTGCTGGGAAAACTGGAAAAAAAAAATATGGCCGAAACTAGGAGTAGACCAAAATTTTACACCACATAACAAAATAAAGTTCAAAATGGGTACAAGATTTAGATATAAAGGCTGATACTATAAGCAAACTGGGAGAGCAAGGAATAGTTTACCTGTCAGATTTATGGAGAACAGAACAATTTATGACCAAACAAGAGATAGAGATCATTATGAAATGCAAAATGGATAATTTTGATAAGATTAAATTGAAAAGTTTTTGCACAAACAAAGCCAATGCAACCAAGATTAGGAGACAGGCAGAAAACTGGGAAAGAATTTTTACAACCAGTGTCTGACAAGGGCCTCATTTCTAAAATATATAGAGAACTAAGTCAAATTTATAAGAACACAAGCCATTCCCCAATTGATAAATGGTCAAAGGATATGAACACGCAGTTTTCAGAGGAAGAAATTAAAGCTATCTATAGTCATATGAAGAAATCACTATTGATTAGAGATTGATTAGAGAAATGCAAAGCAAAACAACTCTGAGGTACCATATCACACCTATCAGATTGGCTAACCTGACAAAACAGGGAAATGATAAATGTTGAAGATGATGTGGGAAAATTGGAACACTAATGCATTATTGATGGAGTTGTAAACTGATCCAACCATTCTAGAGTGCAATTTGGAACGATGCCCAAAGGACTATAAAAATGTGCATACCCTTTGACCCAGCACTTCTAGGGCTATATATCCCAAAGAGATCATAAAAATAGGAAAAGGACCCACAAAAATATTTATAGCAGCTCTGTATGTGATGGCAAAGAAATGGAAATTGAGGGGATGCCCATCAACTGGGGAATGGCTGAAAAAGTTGTAGTACATGAGTGTAATGGAATACTATTGTGCTATAAGAATGAGCAGGTGGACTTCAGAAAAACCTAGAAAGACACTTGTATGGACTGATGCTGAATGAAGTGAGCAGAAACCAGGATAACACTGCACACAGTAACAGCCACGTTGTGTGATGACTAACTTTGATAGATTTAGCTCTTCTCAGCAATGCAAGGATCTAAGACATCTCCAAAAGTCTCATGATGGAAAATGCTATCCACATCCAGAGAAAGAACTATGGAGTTTGAATACAGATTGAACCATACTATTTGCTTGTTTTTTTTCTTTTGTTTTGTTTTGTTTCTTCTTTCTTGTGGTTCCTCCTATTGGTTCTAATTCTTCTTTACAACATGACTAATTTGAAAATATGTTTAATAGGAATGTATATGTAGAGCCTATATCAGATTGCACACCATCTTGAGGAGGTGGGGGAGAAAATTTAAACTCAAAAGCTTATGGAAGAGAACTGTTCATTTATATCTTTCAACCACTTACCTATTAGGAAATTGTTTTTGTTCTTAGATATTTCTGTTGGTCACCTATATATCTGAGTTTTCAGACTCTTGTCAGAGATATCCAATACCAAGGTTTTCCCCCAAGTCCACTGTTTTCCTTCTTATCTTTATTAATTTTATTCACCTTCTTTATCTTATTAACTGTATTCATGAAAAAGATTTTCAATTTCTTATGATCAAAATTATCTTTTATGTACTGTATGATCATCTATCCTTATTTGGTTAAGAAGTCACATCCTACTGTTTACATCCTACATGGGAAGATGATACTTGCAACTCATAAGAACGTTCTCATTATCAGGGCTGTTAGGAGTATATTTAGACAGAGGGCACAGATACAAGTTGAATATGATGGGATGACATCTAAAAACATAAAATTAAGTGGTGAAAAAGAAATGCACTGGGATAGAGGGAAAGGGAGAGGTAGAATGGGGTAAATCATCTCACATAAAAGAGGCAAGAAAAGGGCTTTTACAGTGGAAGGGAAGATAGGAGAGATGGTAGGGAACATTTGAACCTTACTCTCATCAGAATTGGCTCAAAGAAGGAATAACACACACTCAG